CCAGTACTTGTAAATCTATCTTAAGCTTGTTTCTCTACAATGAAACTCTCTCTATAACACATGTTTTTCTTGTCCCCTAAATTTTATGGTACAAGAGAGTCCAACTATGTACAGTATTTAGTGAGATTTTTTGTAATAAGACTTCACTGTATAACTGAAATGAGGTTCATGAACCAAACTGCACAAATGTGCTTCCTTAAAATTGTAGCTGCAGAATTCAGGAAAGAAGTTCCCAGCAAAATGTAATTCCAACTGTGCCAACTCATTTGTTTCATCTTAAAAAGAAAAGTCATTGAATTTTATTTCTCTTCTTTAGGCATCCGTTCGGAAGAAACTGGAAGAAATCTGCGACGAAGCTTTGCTGGAAGTGCTGAAGGAACTGGGCAGCAAGCGAATAATTGGCATAGGTAGATATGCGCAGAAAAAGGCTGAGCATATTGTTGGACAGCTTGGTGGGGATTCATCATCTGTTGACTGGATCATGCATCCAAGTCCTGCGAATCCCAGTGCAAATGGTGGCAAGTGGGAGATAAGTGTGATGGAATCGTTTGAACGGATGGATTTAATCAACTTTTTTCGAAATTGAAATTTGTATATTTGATTTTGAAAGATAATTTGATTGCAACCGTTTTAGTACAGTTCTGTACTGTATTTACATGAAAATCATGATTTTTTATTGCTGTATAATAAAATATGAGTAACCCAGCAGCCAGTGTTCAATGTACACTTGAACCTCTGTAAGTCAAGTACATACCTATATGTCAAATTTTCAAGTCCTTGTCTGAATTAACCTAAAAACCATAAGTTGTTCCAAAATGTCCATTAAAATCAAATATAATGTACACCTACACTTCTAAAACTTAGCAAAAAAAAAAAGAAGCATAACTGACTATGATGTGCATCCCCACAATTTAGAGGAATAAGAAGCACCTGGTACTTGAGTAAATATTGTTCGGTTATTTGATGATTTGAACCTCCAATAAATTGAACCTCTGCAAGTAAAAAACCTTCCTTAGTGGTATGTTTTCCAAGTCCCTGCCTGAATTCCCTTCAAAAATGCATTAAAAATCTCTTTCACAAAGGATTTTCCTCTCAAACCTCTTTAAAACTTGAATTTGCTGAGACATTTTGCCCATTATTTTCTTGGCATGGGGATATTGGGGAAGAGAAAAACAGTAGAAAAAGATTAGCTCAATGTGTTTTGAAAGGAAATGAGAGACTATAAATGGGCAATCTTGTTTCTGTATGAGGTTTAGTTGAATGAACAAATTACAGAGAATCTTTGATGAGAAATCATATAAAGCCAACAGTTTATCTTGATCCTTAAAGATTTCAGAAAGGGTCTCTTCATTGAATTCCAGTACTTGTAAATCTATCTTAAGCTTGTTTCTCTACAATGAAACTCTCTCTATAACACATGTTTTTCTTGTCCCCTAAATTTTATGGTACAAGAGAGTCCAACTATGTACAGTATTTAGTGAGATATTTTTTGTAATAAGACTTCACTGTATAACTGAAATGAGGTTCATGAACCAAACTGCACAAATGTGCTTCCATAAAATTGTAGCTGCAGAATTCAGGAAAGAAGTTCCCAGCAAAATGTAATTCCTACTGTGCCAACTCAGTTGTTTCATCTTTAAAAAAAAAATCATTGCATTTTATTTCTCTTCTTCAGGCATCTGTTCGGAAGAAACTGGAAGAAATCTGCGACGAAGCTTTGCTGGAAGTGCTGAAGGAACTGGGCAGCAAGCGAATAATTGGCATAGGTAGATATGCGCAGAAAAAGGCTCAGCATATTGTTGGACAGCTTGGTGGGGATTCATCATCTGTTGACTGGATCATGCATCCAAGTCCTGCGAATCCCAGTGCAAATGGTGGCAAGTGGGAGATAAGTGTGATGGAATCGTTTGAACGGATGGATTTAATCAACTTTTTTCGAAATTGAAATTTGTATATTTGATTTTGAAAGATAATTTGATTGCAACCGTTTTAGTACAGTTCTGTACTGTACTTACATGAAAATCATGATTTTTTATTGCTGTATAATACACTATGAGTAACCCAGCAGCCAGTGTTCAATCTACACTTGAACCTCTGTAAGTCAAGTACATACCTATATGTCAAATTTTCAAGTCCTTGTCTGAATTAACCTAAAAACCATAAGTTGTTCCTGAATGTCCATTAAAATCAAATACAATGTACACCTACACTTCTAAAACTTAGCAAAAAAAAAAAAAGAAGCATGACTGACTATGATGATGCATCCCCACAATTTGGAGGAATAAGATGCACCTGGTACTTGAGTAAATATTGTTTGGTTGTTTGATGATTTGAATCTCCAATTAATTGAACCTATGCAAGTAAAAAACCTTCCTTAGTGGTATGTTTTCCAAGTACCTTCCTGAATTCGCTTAAAAGAATGCATTAAAAATCTCTTTCACAAAGGATTTTCCTCTCAAACCTCTTTAAAACTTGAATTTGCTGAGACATTTTGCCCATTATTTTCTTGGCATGGGGATATTGGGGAAGAGAAAAACAGTAGAAAAAGATTAGCTCAATGTGTTTTGAAAGGAAATGAGAGACTATAAATGGGCAAATGAACCCCATCCTCCAAGTTCAGCATGCTGTCAACTCATTTGAAAAATAATTCAAGGCCCAGATTATCACCATTTGCAATTTCCTGCAATTCTTTCATGTTTTGCTATATAACTTGACACTTCCCTATCTCAAAACCTCCCTACAATTAAAATTATTTTTGCTGGTCACTCAAAATATATGGCTTTAAAAGGTACTACAGTCAACCCCCATCTAACGGACTTGATTTGTGCAAGGGACGAGTCTGTTAGACAAAAAGTCCTTTACACAAATTCAATTACATAAAAAATTAATAATTTCAATTTTCAACACTAATTTTAAACCTGGTCCCTTGAAATTTGACAGAGAGGTTCAGCTGCACAACTCAGATTTATTTTTGGCATATACTGTAATACAATCAACCCCCGTCTAACGGACTTGATTCGTGCAAGGGACAAGTCTGTTAGACAAAAAGTCCTTTACACTAATTCAATTACATAAAAAATTAAAAATTTCAATTTTCAACACTAATTTTAAACCAAAAGAAGTCTGTTTGGTGGATTTTGTCTGTTGGGCGGGAGGAAAAACTGCTTGCAGAGCTGGTCTGTTTGGCAAAAATCCCTTACACAGGAGGTCTGTTAGGCAGGGGGCCACTGTACTGCAGTTATACTCAACTCATTAGTTACTCACTAGACATTTTCAAGGGATCCTGAAATCATCATTATATCTTCACACATAATGCTGTAGCTTAACATCATTGTTGAGGGACTCTTAAGTTCAGGGATACCTTTTTATTGTCTCAGTGGAGTTCCTGGAGAAAAAATTTCCATTACTGGAAGGAATCAAGGCACCTCAGCAGCCATTTTCCAACATACCTATTTTGAAGCCCGCACTGCAGAGAGTTTAGCACTCTATAGCCCATTCAACACTAATCTCCAACTGGTCCTCTTCATCCCTCAATAAGACCAATAAGTTCTGCAGGATAATTTGAATCACTGGAAACAACCAGCAGCAGTCTCCTTATTTGGAAGACCAACAATAACGTGGATGCTGCCTCGGCTCTCCACTGATGACCCAGAAAATTATTGACAAGTTCTTTTCTCTCTCATTGGATAATTTTATATTTAATTGAATACCACAATTTCGAAAAAATTGTCCTGCAGTTCTATTAAACACTATCAAAGAATATCAACCCTGGATAAATCCGTCTAATCCTCTTCCATTTTGCTCGCCAGCGATGACAAACTCATCACAGGTATGCCAGATGTCGAAATTGTTGTACCGAACAGGTGCTTGATATCGTGCCGTCCATCGACGGGAGAATAACTTGTCCATATATTGTATATATGAACTCAAGTGTTACTCGGAATTTGAAGCAACAATGACGAAAAATCCAACGAAGACTCCCAAGATGAATCCCTTGCGAACTGCTGAGCTGAATGTCATTGCGCTGTTCTTCCTTTTCTCCTTCTTGACAGGACAGGATATGGTTACCTTCTTAGGAGCAACTCCTGTTCCTTTGATATCAGGTAACTTGTTTGGCTCATCCATGGACTGCTTGCATTCATCATCCGGAACTGCTTTTTATACAGTACAGGTTATCATGAAAAGATGTTTAAATAAAGGATTTCATGTTACAGTAGTTGCAGTAGATGACCAGCAATTAAACTGAAGAGAGGATTTGAAACATGAATGGAAAAAACTGAGTTTCTTCATTACCAAGAGACACAGTAATTAAATTTTTATTGTTGAGCTGTGGTCAGAGGAAAATTAAATTCTAAGCTTCCTGGATCATATTTTGGAATGAATTGAATTGAACAGCAAGCTTCATTTTCTGCTTTTCAGCATTCACAAGGTTCAAACAATGTTCCCACATCCAGGCCCCCTCCCCTCCCCACCCAACATTCATATCCAAACACATTCTTCACATGAGAATGGAAAATTGAGAAGCAAGCTGCTCATGGATATTGAAAGAAAAGAAAATGTATCCCAAAAAGTGAAACTTGCACAAGTGACATAAATATGTACCATACACCTTCTTTCCTTCCGTGTTCACAAAAACAAAATACAGGTGAACCTGGATAACTCAAACCTCCATAAGTCAAATACCCCCCTAAGTCGAATTTTTTTCAGATCCCCTCTGAATCCCCTTAGAAAAAATTCCTAAAAAACCACCCTAAGTCGAAGGGTTTTCCCCTCAAACCTCTGTAAGTTGAATTTCCTGTGGCCTGTTGGCCATTATTTTCTTGGAAAAAAGCAATAAAAAAACAGAAATTTATGTGTTTAAAGGAAGTGAAAGATTTAATTGGAGAAATGAACCCGTGCCTCCAAGTTCAGCAGCCTTTCAACACATTTAAGAAGCCATTTAAGCTTTAGATTACATAAATTTACATTTTTCCAAGTTTTCCAGAAAAAAAGGGCTTTGTATTGCAGTTCCAATCTATATAATTCCTGACCTCCCTAAGTTGAATTTTTTGCAGGCCCCTTGAAATTTGACTTAGAGAGGTTTGACTGATATCAAAAATACAAATTCCAGAGTAAAGCTATTACTGAACCTAAATTATAGCACAAGATGTACAACCTGATTTTTTAAAATGTGACATGTTTAAATTGTACCTGGAGTATCAAAGCCTGCAGAACCAGAAGATGGTGCCCTGTCTGCAACATCTTGCACTTGCCTGGTCAACACATCTGAATCGTTGGCTCTCAAAATCTCAGCCCTACAGTCCACATGTCCAGTCTTCTTCAGTCCCATTTTAGCTAATTAAAAAAAAACCGATTATACTAAGGAGTAACAATAATAACCAAAAGAAAACCTGGTTGTATGAGGTTTGTAAAGGTCCAAAGGATGAATGACTGAGAGACAAGTTCAAGCGCCAACAGACTCTTTATTATAAAACAAGACATTCCTTCGTTCATTGGCTTTTTGTATATTAAATCAAGGTTCACCCCCAAAAGATATTGTCATTTTTTTGTGAGCTCGGAAGACATCTTTTCACACCGTTTCCAATGAAATAAATAAATCCACACAACTTTTGCGCCATGCACCGGGCAAGAGGCCGACACAATAAAAAAAAAATATTCAGGCTGAAAAACAAAAATAGCTGAAATTTTCAGAAGTTCACGTCGCACCATGGCACCGTTTTAAGGAAAAAAAAATTAAAGAAACAAGAGCAAAAACAGAACGTAATACTGCGAGGGGGTGGGAAATAATGAGACAAAGGGGGAAACAAAAACCGAGAGCAACAATCGCACAACTGACCTCGATTTTTTTTTCTTTCGCGCAGAAATCAAAATTAAATTAAAATAACAACCATATATCAGAACATTTTCCCCGTCTCTCCCACGCGACGCAGTCAATTCGTCCACCACCGCGAGGGAGGGGGGCGTTCTGCCGGGTACGTTAACGTACCCAGCAGAACAGCCTTTCCTCCCGAGCCTGGAGAACGAGAACCTGAGCCCGGACATTTTCTGCTTTCTCACTCTCCTGCGTCATTTATTCATAAAAATCACAGGCAACGCGTATATTCAATGCGTGTTGTTACAAAATAAAATCGCTGATTATCTTTCTCTCTCTCATCTTTCCCTTCCTTTCTTTCCTCAGTTTTTGTCTTTTCTTTTTCAACAGGGATGATGGTGAGGATGAGGAGCAGAGCTGAAGTGGAACCATGCAGCATTTTTTTGCGACAGATGGGATCGAACAGCGCACATATGTCATCAATTTTCTTTCCCGCATCATTAAAACCTTCCCTGGGTCCGTTTCAACTAGCTGCTTTCCCCACAACTGGCTGCCATCAATTAATTTGTGCTGTCAGATCCTTCTATTTTTCTCAACACAACTGCTGATGCTGTGGATTGACCCACTAAATTTAAGATCCAATACACCAAGTTCCATCAGTATCTATCCGTCTCTGACTCATATCTGAGAGAATAAGAAAAACATTTTGCACACCTAGGTAACAACCATCAGGTAATTTCACTACACCAAAGAGGACCATCATGAAAGAAACAGATGTGCCTAATTGCAAAAAAAAAAAACAGCTGGAAATGAACTAATGCTTCTTCAAACATTACTACTACATGAAAGAAGGTCAAATTTTGAGTGGATTTATTTTCAGTTCAATCTGCATCATGGGAAACAAAGTGAAGATGTATTTGGCTAATTATTTGAATATTGAAAATGTATCCATCACCCTAAAATGTGGTAAGACACATCATACAAAACACTTGACACTGAAGTCAAGCTTGGTGTGAAACTATTTAGCAGTCTGATTATTTCATTGTAACTAAATCCATTCTTCAATGAACTGCTGCTTGAATTTAATTGAGCTATGAACTTGATATCATGAATCATACAAGGTTTGGAAAAAAGTTTTTTATAGGGTATGTTATAATTTGAAATCAAAATACAGTAACTTTTTGCAGCAATCTCAACTTTTCCTAACTCAATTACTTTTGCAATTCATATTAATCCATGTAATATACAGTATATGTATGTATACTGTATATACAATCTTCATTAAAAATATTCCTTTCTGACATGAAACATTTTGAGGTTACTTATGCACTTCACTCTTAATCTTACAGTTTTGTCCTTCAACCCAGCATCAGCAGTAGTTTTGTGTATACAGTAATTTAATACACCACTTCTCAAAGTTTAAAAGGAAGGAGCACAGGATATATTATTCTTCCCTTATCAATTATGAGATATAAATAAAGAAATAAATTTTGAAGATGACATAAATTGCACTTGCACTAAGTTGGAGGCAAACATTTTAGTTCTAAACTTACATCCAAGGAGCAGTCTAACAACAATTCAACTTGAAAATTGAAATGGCAGGAAAGATCAGAGAATATTCTTCTCCTATAACTTATTATGAGATAGAAACAATGGATAAAAAAATTTGCGGATGACTAAGATAAATGTTCTTGCACTAATTCAGTGTCAGAAACTTTAGTTCTAGCCTACATGTGAGGAACAGTCAAACACTACCTTAACATTTAAAATGAGAGGATGTCAGACTATATAACATGAATATGCATCACATAACATCATTATAGCTCATACAGGAATGTTGAAAGATGTGGGAATATAAAAAGGATGATCCACTTCAGCATCAGCTCCAATACACAAGGAGGGATTCTCCTTCCTAAAAAAAAAAAAAAAAAAAAAAATAGCAGCACCCGCAGTTTCACACCCCCCCAACTTCAATAACAACAACAACAACAAAACCCTAACAATCGCGTCACACCTCCCTTTTTAACTCCGCACCAACAACAAAAACAATATTATTTCAACCGCCTGGTACACCGTATCTCCACCTTCTCAAAAAAACAAGCAACACCCGGAAATCAAGGGTTCTGTCCGGAGAAAAAAAAAATGAAATAATAATTTTTATATATGCGCCGCCGCCGAAGGGGATAAAATTTATATATATATATAAAAATCGCGAGGGGCGATGAACTTATTGTGGCTCCAGGCAATTCGCCCAACCGCATTTTTCCCTCCCTCCGTGTGTGTGTGCATCATCGCCAGCAGAAAACCATCTCCCTATTTTACGTATATATAAATATATACTTTTTTCGAGTTGAAATTTGCATACTGTAGTAATTATATTCATGCCTTTTCCCCGATAATCTTGGTTTTTTATAAATTATTCTCTACATCATCGCCACCTGCACAGCAGTAATTTTCTTTTATTGTTATTTTTTAAAATTATAGCTCCCCATATGTTTTAGGCCGCGGCTCTTTCTTGTTTTTTTTTCTTCAAAATTTATTTAAATTTCTATTCAGTAATTCCTTCGATGAATGCCAAACTTCTTCCGTCGCGCCGGAATTCTTTCGCCCTCGTCGTCGTCGTCGTCGTCGTTGTTCCAGTTCTTTTTTTTTGGCAGGAGCCAATTTAGAAGAAAATTATAAATTGGAAAATGTGTAGTGTTAATACACGGAAATTCCGTTAGATGGCTCAAAATGATCAACGCACAGCCGAATATGTATAGAAGCGTTTTCAATTTACCAGGGAACTCTTTCACACAAATATTGTTGACCTGAATAATGCAAAAATAGCCTGTCAAAAAAAAGTAAGGATTGAGAAAGATTCTATAGTGGAGCAGTCTAAATAGTAACTAATATACTGAGCATGAATATGGTACAACTGCAGTTGACCAAGAGCTGAAAAAGTCACAGAGCTCTGCTGTGCAGAGTATAAACCAACTAGGCAGTAAAATCTCATTACAACAAATACCAGTACAAAAATTGTTTCAGTATAACAGTATTTTTCTGAAGTCTCAGTAAAAAGCCCATAACATATTCAAACCATCACATCATAACAAAATTCCCAATTCCAGTGCAACAGCATTTTTTCAAGGAATGTTCAATAGATTCTCCAGGTAGAAAATAAAGTCTAAAAAGTCAAGTCTGAAATTTTCAATCCCAAATGTTAACAACTGGTTCTTATAGCATGGATGGAAGCTATAATAATCAATGACAAAAATGTTTCAAAGATGATTCAATTATAGCACATATCATCCTCTCAGAATTACACAATTTTCACAGATCATTCCCCAAGAATGAAGAGATTGGTGCAACTATACTTTACTGGAGTGCATGGTTATACAGCCATTTTCCCAGAAAATCACTGCTTTTCAAGCAATAATAAAAAAATCAGAGAATTCCCAGAAAGCAAGGTATAGAATTGATTCTATATTTGCAGCAGGTGAGATGTGCATTTTTTCAGTTAATACAGGATAACCTTGATAACTCAACCTTTGCCTAAGTCAAATACCCCCTTAATTCAAAATTTTCAAGGTTCCCAACTGATTCCCCTTGGAAAAAATACATTAAAAACCTGCTTAATCAAGTCAAAAGCTTTCACCCTCAAACCTCCATAAGTCAATTTTTCTGCGGCCTGTTGGCCATTAATTTCTTGACACAAGGAAGAAAAAAATGCAAGAAAAACATAAATTTGTGTGTTTTGAAGGAAGTGAAAGACTTGATTATTGGGAAATGAACCCCTGCCTCCAAGTTCAGCAGACTTTCAACTCATTTAAGAAGCCATTCAAGCCCTAAAACATCATCATTTGCATTATTTCCAAGTTTCTCTGAAAGAATGGCTTTGTATTGTATAGTTCAAACCAATGTACCGTATTTACTCAAGTACCACGCGCACCTTTTTTCCCAAATTTCAGAAGAAAAAAAGGGGTGCACGTCATAAGCAGGTACAAAATTTTCAAGAAGTTTTAGGAAGTTATGTGTGCATTACACTTGATTATAATGAAGAAATTTGGAGCACATGTACCAAGAAAATGTTTTTGTACTGAAAAAGTTGAAAATTGATGAGATTTTTGTTCAATTCATGCCTAAAGTCAATTTTTTGTATTTATTTGCAAAATTTTGTGGTTTCAGATTCACTAAAAATTGGGGTGCGCGTCTTACTTGGGGAAAATATTTTAGCAAAATTTTCAAATAAAAAACTCCTCTGCGTGCCTTACTTGAGGGCGCATGGTACACAAGTAAATACGGTAATTCCTAACCTCCCTAAGTTGAATTTTTTGCAGTTCCCTCTAAATTTGACTGAGAGAGTTTCAACTGAACTTTAAAAAATCTCGTTTTAATAAACTATTCAGCCTAAGAAAGCGTTATCTGAAGTTCCCATTATAGTTTGCTGTAAGGAGATTTGATTGTACTGTACTGTATAAATACATAACAACGACGACGACGTGGCAAAGACAAATATGGGGCCCATCAGATGCTGAACGATGAGACGCATCTTAAACGCTGCGTCGCCGGGGTGGGTCTTCCTATTTCTCTCACAAAAATATATGCACATGTATGTATATACTCGTATGTCGCGTTTTATTTCCCTTGTTTTTTTTTTTTTGCTTGTTCATTTCCTACTTACATTACGAAGGCCCAATGGGTACGGGTTGATGCGGCGCGAAGGGCTGGCGGGTACGGAAGAAGTGCACCACCCCGCCGCCCCAGTCGCGCATGTGCGGTACGGCAGTCGTCGGAGCAGCCGCGAAGGCCGCCGCCATTGCAGCGAACCGATCCCCTCCTTTCTGCTGCTGCCGGTGGTAACACATGAAGCCCGCCGTGAGCACCGCGATCACAGTGCACAGAGCCAGGAGCACAAAGAGCGCGCTGAAGCCCGGCGCGGGCAAACAAATCCCGTAGACGACATCCTCCCGAATGCGACCCGAGAACACAGCAACGTTGGCCTCGGCGCCGTCGGGCACAAAGTTCAAGTCCGCGCCGGAAATGACGTCAAACGACGTGGCGACACCGACGTCGGTGCCGGGAGCTGCGCGCTCCAGCGACACCGAGCGGCGCTGGCGGAACTCCGTGCTCGGCACGGTTTCGTCCCGCCGCCGCGCGGTGTCGCTCTCGGCCGGAGCACCGGCCCCGGCGGGTTTCTCGTCCGAGCGGAAGTCGCCAAAGTCCATGCTTCGTGGTCCCCACGGGAACC